CAATGACACAGAATACACCACCGGGGAGCTCTGGTGGCCTAGTGGCAAGGAGCTGCAACTACAATCCCAGAGGCGAACGGTTCAAATCCACCAGATGCTCTGCCGGGGAAGGAGGGACAATCTCCTCCTGTACCAGTCAGATCTGATTTGATGGTACACACACACAAAAATAATAAAATAAAAAAAAATTTAAAAAAAAAGAATACACCACCAAATCTTCTCACAAACCATTGTTCTGTTTGGCCCTTGTTCTCTGGATTACAACAATAAATCGACAACTCAACCTCAGTCATAAAGTCTGAGTTTCTAGAAAGCAAACTTCATTAGCTTAAGTTTTGCTTAAAAGCCTGATTTATTGTTGTTGTTATCTGCTGTCGAGTTGGTCATGACTCATGGTGATACTATGTTTGAGTAACAATTTTGGCACACATACTTTTTTTAAGGCACCATAATGAGGTAAAAGTGGGGCTAAATTGAGAGAACTTGGCTGCAGCCATCCACCAATGATAGAGATTTACAAACTGGAACTCTAATTATTGTGATCAGTTGCTTTCTAGTACAGTATGACCCATAATGACCCTATAAACAACAGCTCTGAACCCTGTCCTATCCTTTGCCATCCTCACGCTTCCTGACACACTCGAGCCCATTGCTGCAGTCACTGTGTCAATCCACCTGGTTGAGGATCTTCCTCTCTTTCACTGACCCTCCACCTTTCCAAGTAACTTGTTCCCCTCCAAGTAATAACCTCTCCTAGCTACATGCACAAAGTATGTGAGCTGAAGCTTCATCACCTTTGCCTCCAAGGAGCACCTTCTCCAAAATATGTTTGTTCTTTCGGCAGTCCATGGGATATTAAATATGCTTCTCCAACACCAAAGAACTCGAATAGAATACTTTATTTACTATTACATATATCCACCTGCCTAGTTTTGGGTTAGTAGCACAACTCCCTATCAACTATACTACCAGAAATCCTCTAATTCCACTAAGAAAAACCAAAACCCATTACCATTATGTCTGATTCTAGCTCGTAGTAACCCTACAGGTGAGTGTGGGACAGTCCTAGAAGGTTCCCAAGAAGATCCCTCTTTATGGAAACACTGTCCCATTCTTCCATGAAGCAGCTGGTGGATTTGAGACACCAACCCTTCACTTAGCAGCTCAATGCTTAATGTAGTACCCCACCAGGGAGGGTCTTTCAAGTAAGGGAAAGAGAATTGCTAGTCCATGGTGTGAGGAAGCAATAAAACTACTCCAAGTATCACCACCATTATAAGAAACAAAGTTCTGTGTGATTGTGTATTTGATACTCTTTAGCCTTTCTGAGAAGGATAAGGAAGCTGGCTGATTGGTTCTGCTTTTAATAGACAAGCCGGTGAAAGATAGAAAGGAGCACAAGACTCAGTCATAGCTGAATTGTTAGCTAAAAGTCCGTGTTCTATTGATGCTCTGAAAAACAATCCTTATAAAGTATCCCACACATATTGTTGTTGTTAGGTGCCACTGAGTCGACCATGACTTGTAGTGGCTGTATGCACACATTGGAAGTTTATCTTATCCTGCACCGTCCTCAGAGTCTATTTCATGGAGTTTCCCAGATGTAAGAGTTCAAAAAACAAAAGCAACAATAAAAACAAAAATATACAGGATATCTGTGCCAAATATTTATTAAATGATAGAGGTAAAGAATGTTTAAGGTGTGTTTGGGGATAGTCACATATTCAGCCGCTCAGATGAGTAGGTATTATTTGTGTGTGTGTGTTGGAAGGAATCACATCTTCTTTGCCCTTTAACACTTGTTTAGATGGTAAAGGCCCCCATGTGGAAGAAAAGCAAAGTGCAAGTTGTCTTGTCTCTACCATCAGTGAGCTATTCTGGTTGTTTCTTGCAATGGTCAGCTTTATGGGTCTATTTGCCTGGCCTGTGATTCTCAAAGGTTAGACCAGACATATGACTGGTTGCTATCATATAAATAAAGTAGTAACTTTCTGTGACATGACTTGATGTGGTTAACCACTTGGTTAAAAAGGGCTACTTCCTTTTGAGTATGCTCTGTTTCCAAGAATCTTGGGGGCATAGTTTGTGATGTGTCAGGCTGCAAACCCAAAGGAAAGGTCAGCAGTTTGGATTCACCAGTTGGACCAGAAAGTTGGATAATAAAAAGGAAAGCTAAAGAAGATGCCTGTTAATTATGGTGTTGGCAAAGCATATTGAACATCTCATGAACTGTTTAAAGAATAAACAAATCTGTCTTGGAGGAAGTGTACCATGGTGCTCCTTAAAGGAAAGGGTGCTGAAACTTCCTCCTACATGCTTTGGCCATGTTGTCCGAAGGCACCAGTCCTTGGAAAGACATTATCATCATGCTGGGAAAAGAGGAGGGTTAGTGAGAGGAAGACCCTCTAGGAGATGGATTAACACAGTGACAACAACCCCGGGCTTGAGCATGGTGGAGATGGCGAGTATGTAAAGGCTGTCAAGGCTCAGATCTATTGTTCACAAGGTCACTGTGAGTTGTAGTTGACTCAGTGGCACCTAACATCACAAAACTTCTGCCAATTTGACTTTCACAGGTGTACAACTTAGTGACAGCATGTGAAACGAAACTATCTGACCTGCACCTTGCAACCATACTCTTATCAATTAGATTTTTCTATTACTATTAAATCTCCCTGGCACCATAATCAGTTTTGTAGATCTTTTATACAAAAGAAAATTAATAAAACCAGCAAAAACTTAAGGTTGATGATTATTTTTTTTTCTAACCCTGTTTAAGTCATCAGATAAGAGCAAAGAAACACTGCATGGTTCGGATTGCACTAGGGATGTGTCCTTTCTTTTCAATCTGTATGCAAAGAGATCACTTGGGAGGCTGGGCTCTATGAGGAGGAATGAAGTATCAGGACTGGAGGAAGACTCATCAACAACCTACCTTATGCAGATGACACAATCTTGCTTGCTGAAACTGAGGAGGACCTGAAGTGTGTGCTGCAGGTCAAGGGCTGTAGTCTGCAATATAGATTAAAGCTTAACAGCAAGAAGACAAAGATTTTCACCCCTGGGCCAACTGGCAACTTCATGATGGATGAAGAGATTGATGTTATTAACAATTATAACTTGCTCGGCTCAACAATCAAGAAATCAAAAGACTAATTGCTTTGGGGAAGTCTGTTGTCAGGGACATCTCCAAAATGCTAAAGAGCAATGTCAGTCTAGAGACTAAGGTATGTCTCACATAAGTTGGGCACATGGCCAGTCCTTGGAGAAGGACATCATGCTTAGAAGAGTGAAGGAGGGGAGCTCTGGTGGCCTAGTGGCAAGAAGCTGCACTGCAATCCCAGAGGAACACGGTTCGAATCCACCAGACGCTCTGCCGGAGAAGGAGGCGCAATATCCTCCTGTACCAGTCAGATCTGATTTGACGGTACATGCACACAAAATCACAAAATAATTAAAAAAAAAAAAAAGAGTGAAGGAGGGACACCGCAGGAGAGGATGAGATGTATTCACGTGATACCTGGGGCAATGGGATTAGGTGTATCAGTGAGACTGGCTTAGGACAGGGCAGGGTTCAGAGCTGTTGTACATAGGATTGCTATGAGTCACAGGCTCAACAACCTTGTTGACCTAGGGACCTGCCTTATGCATCTGCCCTGTCACAGGAATGTTATGTACTATTGAATATCAACCCTACGAAAAGATCTGAACCTTCTATCCGGTGCCATCCTCATAAGTTCTAACACACTTAAGTCCCGTCAGTGTATCAATCCATTTCATTGAGGGTCTTCCTCTTTTTCATACTTGCTACCTTCCCAAGCATGATGTCCCTCTCCAAGGTACAGCCTGTCCTAACAACATGTCCAAAGAATATGAGACGAAGCTTTGTCATCTTTGCCTCCAAGAGCACTCTGGCTGTACTTTTCCCAAGACCTACCTGTTTATTCTTTTGGCAGTCCATGGGATAGTCAGTACTCTTCACCAACATTACAGATCAAAGGCATCACTTCTGTCATCCTTATTCATTGTCCAGCAGTCAGATGCATAGTATTTGACTGGAAAGAACATGGCCTGAATCAGGTGCACTTTAATCTTTAAACTGTCATTACTGCTTGTCAGTAATTTGGACAGGAGATCCCTGAAAGCAGACCTGCTCAATGCAATACGTCATACTTCCTGACTGCTTGTACTCAACGTTTTGATTGTGGATCCAAGGAAGATGAAGTTGTTGACAGTCTCAGTATTTTCTCCGTCTATCTTAATGGGTCAGTGGTAAGGATTTTTGTTTTCTTGATGCTGAGATGTAATCCAGTTGTTGACAGTCTCAGTATTTTCTCCGTCTATCTTAATGGGTCAGTGGTAAGGATTTTTGTTTTCTTGATGCTGAGATGTAATCCATGTTGAAAACGTTAGTCTTTGATATTCTGCAGCTCTGGTAAAAGGAACTACGATGAGCGATGCAACTCTTCACAGGATAGGCACAATTAGCGAGGAAAGCATTCCAAAAAAGTGACTACGTTTTTGGGTAGTGCTGGAGCTTCCCGATTAAAACAAGCCTGGAAGCAGGAGTGGCATCCACTTCTGAAATGGCTTGCCTCCGGAAACTTCATGATCAGTGCTCAGGCCGTTCGTTCATACGGTCGCTATGAGTCGTCTAGGACTCGATGGCACCTAACAACAACAACAACAACAACGTGTGGGCGTGGTTCCTGATGTTCTCAGCTCGTAGCTTAGGAATGACTGTTGAGGAAACCCAGAAAAGAGTCCCAAAACGAAAGCCAGGCACAGTACTTCGCATAGAGGCCTTTTCGAAAGGCATTTTCAAACATGCCGCCCAGCACTCGGCCTCACGCCAACAGCGGAACCGGAAACGGCCGTGAGACGGCCCACCGGAAGGAGCTGCTGGAAGGGGCGGGTCTCTGGGTGAGTGACGTAATGACGCCGCGCCCAGAGTGACGCGTGGCAACGGGGAGGAAGGGACTCGGCTGTCAGTTCCCGGCTTTGCTGCAGCGGAGCAGGCGCCATGGCGGTTCTCCTGGAGACCACTTTGGGCGACGTCGTCATCGACCTGTACACCGAGGAGCGGCCGCGCGGTGAGCCCGGGTCTTCCTCCTTCCTGCCGGGTTTCCCATATTGTCCTTCTCCGCTCTTCCATTGATCCATTCTCTGTTCCAGCGATCGAGTCCATCTCTTGGGCTTTTGGTGTCCGCCTTGGGCCTGATTTTTAAGCGGGTCTTGTTTGCAGTAGGTTTTGCATGGAAAATTTGTTTGCCTTTTCACAACTTTTTCCCCGTTTCCATGTTCGCTTAGCTGGTGGTGGAAAGATGTCTTTGTGTTTGTGTGTGTGTGTGTGTGTGTGAGAGAGAGAGAGAGAGAGAGTGTTAGTTATAAGGGGGGTGTGTATCTGTGTAAGAGAGAGAGCATGTTAGTGTTGTTCTTAGATTCCATCAAGTAAGACTCATAGCGACCCTGTGCACAACAAATCTGAACCCTCTCCATCTTCACACTTTGTGACACACTCGAGTCCAATGCAGCAGTCACTATGTCAAACCACTTGGTTGAGGGTCTTCCTTTCTTTCGTCGCCCCTCCACCTTTCCAAGCGTGATGGTCCTCTTCAAGCAATAGCCCCTCTTAACAACATGCCCAAAGTATGTGAGCTGAAACCTTATCCTTCTTGCTTCCAAGGAGCACTCTGGCTGGCCTTTCTCCACGGAGGCAGTCCGTGTGTGAGAGAGAGACAGGGCATCTGAATGCACACCAAATATGGAATATTTGCACGACTTACAGCTTGGGTGGTATTACAGATATTATCTGGTGTGTCAGTTCTTGATGAGAAGCAGCTTGTGGCTAGTGCACAAACAGTGAGTGCGCAGAACGGCCTTTGCGCACAGCGAGATGCGCACAGAACCAGAGCCAACCTTTATGGACCGCCAGACCTGCGAGAGCCAGCTCTTAAAACTTTGGGATAATCGGCTGGTGCACCGGGGTTTACTTTTTCCTCCGAGATACTAGCCACGGGAACCCATTTAATTTTGTTAAGTAGTGTTCGGATGTGTGAATTTCTATGGAAACCTGAGGAAGGAGTCTTTCCCGGTTGGACTGGAGATAAGAGCAACAGGAATTCAAAGCACTTGAACTGACTCATTCAGAGAGGAGTGGGGGGAGGAGAGTTTTCTATACCTCTTGCTTGGCCTTGTCTGGAGACAGCAAGTAGCTTGGCCTGGCTAGAGGGAGTGGTGTGAGAAGTGAGATTTTAAACTGTGAATCTGGTCCTATGAGTTTGGCTAGCTCCTACCTAGTCTTGAGAGCCATACTGATAATCAAAGCTTTGAAGATGTCTTGTTTTTAAAATTGTAATGTACGTACATGTATACTTGTATGTGTAGGTGTACATAGATGTGTATATGTACACACATAACAGATCTCTCTATATATATTTATATATGTATATATCTGTATCTCACAAGCATCTGCCATTTCAACAGTTTTTTAGTGTACAATTAGGTGGCATTAATCACATTGTCCTGCCGTGTACCCATCACCACTGCCTGTTTCCAATTTTTTTCTAGCACTCTAAAGCTCAGTGAAAGCTTTATTGTTGTGATTCTTGCTAAATATTAGTTTCACTTTCTAAGGAGAGACTCCTTGCTCTTGAAACTTTAGCATTTTATTTATTTTTTTAAAAAATTTTATTGTATTATTTTTACGTGTACCGTCAAATTAGATCTGACTGGTACAGGAGGAGATTGCCCCCTCCTTCTCCAGCAGAGCATTGGTGGATTTGAACTGCATACCTCTGGGAGAAACTTTAGCATTTTAGATTGTCATGCAATTTAGATCGGTTCAGGGGTTCAGAGTATCTGTGATGATTTCTTGGTGGTACTGAGGTCACCCCTCAGTGAATTTTTAAAAGTAGGATCCAGACAGGGAAAAATTGTTGTTTTAGGAAGATAACGTGCAGCAGTTTGGAGACTGTATCAATTTAGGGAGAAATGAGGCCATAATATTTTTTCATAAATTGGAGGAGCAGTTGTGATAATAAGAACGCTGTGCTGTTTGGGAAAGCAAAACATTAGATAAGGATGTAACAGTATCTGTTTGTGTAAAAGTAAGTAGTTACATTCATGATCTTATATCATGGGAAACAGATTCTATAAAAGAAGATAAAGGAACATATTGTACTGTGCCTTCCCCCACACTCAACTGTCTCAAACAGTGTACTCTCTCCCAAAGTTTATGAGCCTCCAGAGACTTGCTTCCTTCTGGTGAACTCCTTGAACAGATTTTCAGTCTCTTTGTGGCATTTTCCTGGATTTAAGAAGTATTTGGTCATGATTTTTATGTCACAGGCCTCTTTTAACACATGGTGCATGTCTTACGCTAACATTTATGTGTTGTCCTGGAATTATTTGAAAGTCTTGTCTTCCTTCAGGAAAATAGCTCCAAGGGAACTTAACTTGCCTAGGGGACAATCTGTTCCTATTGTTGTTAGGTGTCGTTGAATCAAGTACTCATAGTACTACTCATAGTGACCCTATGATCAAAAGATCTGAACCCTGCTCTATCCTGTGCCATCCTCACACGTCCTGATACACAAGAGCCCATTGCAGCAGTCACCATGTCAATCTACCTCGTTGAGAGTCTTCCTCTTCTTTGTCGACCCTCCACCTTTCCCAGCATCATGTCCCTCTCCAAGGAATAGCCCCTCCTAGCAAAATGCCCAAAGTATATGAGGGGAAGCCTCATCATTCTTGCCTCCCAGGAGCCACTTTGACTCTACTTCCTCCATGGCATATCTGTTCGTTCTCTTGGCCATCCATGGGATGTTCAGTGCCCTTCTCCAACACCATAGCTCAAAGGCGTCAAATTTTCCCCGTCATCCTTAATTTATTTTCCAGCTCTCAGATACATAGCAAATAATTGGAAAGACTATGTTTCTGTACATAGGGTTGCTATGAGTCGCAGGCAACTCGACGGCACATAACAACAACAACAACAACAACATGTTTCTGTTGTTGTTGTTGTTGTTGTGGAACCGACCCATGGATGACCCTCTGGTGGGTTTTCAGAGGAAGTTAATTGCACAGGACATGATTGCCTATCCCTCTCCCATGGAGTAGCAGGTGCCCTTGAACCACAGGCCTTGGGAATTACATTGCAGCTACTTCCCATTAGGTCACATGAGCGCCCTTTTAGGGATTGTAAAAAGAGTAAGGGCCATGTGAGGTTCATCATATCTGACCTTTACCAGCTTCACAGGGGGGAATGATCCTTGTCCGTAACATCAATAACACAAAACAATTCTCATACGGCCAGACATGTCCCCCTCGTTCCCATGCCTCCTTCTACTCATCTCAACACCAATCTTACTACTTTGCTAGGTACGGAATCCAATGTGATAACTCCAGACCACACAGAACCATATTAGAGAAGTCAAAAGTTTGTAATCCAGATTAATTACATACTACAATTAAGACAGCTCTCAAATGTGCAAGCAGGCACTTCAGCCTCGAGCCTTGCAGCTTGCAGAGAGAACTTAAGTTCTCAGTTCTGCCAATATCTGCTTCCCTTCCCAGTTGTCCAACAAAGTTTTCAGTCCTGCCAGTATTGGCTCTCTACCCAGTAGTGTAAAAAAGTTCTCAATCCTGCCAATATTGGCTTCCCCAACGCCCCCAACTCCCATCTCATATCAATTCTCTAGTTCAGCCATGGCTGCTGCGGCCTTCCCAAAGTGTATCCTACATTTTCCTGGCTCCCCTTAACTGGGGTGGGGAAGGTCTCTTTCCTCTTCTCTGGCGGGGGAGAATTCTGATTCTTCCAGCTAGAGCTATTCCATTTATTAGTGAGACTAGCCAATCTTCTTGTAGATTGTTGAGACTGACCAACCCCCTTGTGGAATGGTAGACAGCCAGTCTTGTGGATAAGACAAGATACCTCATTCACATAGTCCTGCCCTTCCACGTGGTTGGTCATCCACATTCAGTTCCACAGAAAAGCCATATTAAGGGTAGCCAAGATGTCATTCCCAAAGTATAAGCCATCACACCTGGTCACCCTACCTGCTACTCTTGACCCAGCCAAATACGACAGACATATCTCCAGAGGCCCGGCGGGCTCAAACTGAACAGCTGGCCATAAGATCCCGGTTTAAACAGGAGTATCTGCTTCAGCTCAGTGACCTCCAACCATCAGTCAGTCACTGAAGATCCTGCCTTCACTCGTTGAACCTGTGCAAGATCAGCGAATGTCTACCCCAATTTCAGGCTCACTTGCAAGCTCTCCCTCATGGGAGCTGTGCTTGGCATTGGACGCCTGTTCTTCTGGTATTTTGTTTTCAACACCGACAGAGATTGCTAAGAAAAACTTATCCAGGAAGGAAAATTGGATTAAACATTTAACATCTAAGTTTCACAGTGATGACTATAAATGTATTGTTACTTAAATAAATCTATTAATCATTAAAAAAAAGAAAAGCCATATTGAAAGACAAGCTCCATAGGGGTAATATTGTTGTTAAGTGCCATTGACTCACCTATGACTCACAGTGACCCTGTGAACAACAGATCTGAGCTTCGTCCATCCTGCTCCATCCTTACCATGCCTGTTATGCTGGAGCCCTTTGTTACGGTCACTGTGTCAGTCCTTGTTGGAGGCCTTCCTTTCTCTGTCTCACCCTCCACCTTTTCCAGCATGATTGCCTCTTCCAAGGACTGGCCACTCCTCCTGACCACATGGCCATAGTACGTGAGTCAGAGTTTCACCACCTTTGCTGGTAAGAAGTACCCTGGTTGCACTTTCTCCAAGAGAGACTTGTTCTTTTGACAGTTCATAGAATATTCAGTGCTTTTCTCCAGCACCACAATCCAAAGGCATCCATTCTTTTTCTTCTGTTCTTATGATTATCCAACTTTCAAATGTTTAGGAAATAATTGAAAAGACTATGTCTTGGAGCTTTGGTGGCCTAGTGGTGAGAGGCTGTGCTACAATCCTATGTGATTGGAATCCACCGCTGCTCCATGGGAGAAGGATACATACATAGTCTTCTCCTGCACTATTTACTGCCACTGAATACGTGCTGGTGGGTCAGCTGTGGGTTGGGTCCAGCTCACTGGCACAGAGCAACAACAATAATGACTTTATGGGCTGCACCTTAGTCTTTAAACTAACATCATTGCTCTTTAACACTTTGGAGAGGTCTTTGACAACAGATTTTCCTAATGCAGCACATCTTGACTGCTGTTACCATGCATATTGATTTCTTGTTTGGGATTGTACATTTGAAGAAAGACAAATTCTGTGGGAAGGTGCCAGCCATACTTGGAAGTCAAATCTTTGATATGGTGGGAAAATGTGAAATTACCCAGCATGGATTAGTAAGCACACACAAGTGAGCTATGATTACTATTTGTGTTCATGTTTAAGTGCCTTGCTTTAGTGTAAACTTTTAATGTTTCACTGTTCAGTCTATGGTTTCAGAACTCAAATTCGTTTCTATCAAGTCAGAACTGACTCATATCAGACACTCCGGTGGATTTTCCAAGGCACCCCAGCAGGAGATTGCCCAACTTTCTTCCTTGGAGCTGTGGGTGAATTCTAACCATCAGAGCGGTATCACCTTTGGGTTAGCAGTGCAGTTTCTTAAGGCCACCCGACCTCCCTCGTTTTTAGTGGTGGTAGTTGTGCGTGCTGTTGAGTGGGAACCGAACCATAGCTGGCCCTCCAGTGGGTTTTCAAAATCAGTAAGTCTTATGGGAGGAGATTGCCCATCTTTTCCCACAGAGCAGCTGGTAGATCCAACTGTATACCTGTGGGTGGCTGCACTGCAATCCCAAAGGTACATAGTTCAAATCTACCAGTTGCTCCAAGGGAGAAAGATGGACAGTCTCTTTCCCTGTGATTAACTGCCTCAGCAAACCCTCAGGAGGATCAGTATGCAAGATAAGATAGGAAGCCACCAAAGCCCCCTTCTAGTTTCTAGTGTGGTACTTGAAAACTTGTTAACTGTCTCTCTACTACTAGACTGTGAATCTGTTGAGGGAAATGGCTGTGTGGTTTAATGTCATTTATGTGCTATCAAAAGGTCTGTGCCAGGTCCCTAGGAAGTATTCAGGAAATGTATATTGATTAAACTTTAAGAGAACATCTGCTGTGAGGGACTTCTCAAGAGTTCTGAGAAGCAACGATGTCAGTTTATAGACTAAGGTTCACCTGATCCAGGCTATGGTCTTCGTAGTTACTTGATATGAATCAAAGAGCTAGATAATGACTAAGGATGACAAAAGAATTGATTGATGCCTTTGAGTTGTGGTACTGGAGAAGAGTCTTGAACATACACCATGGACCACCAAGAAAACAGATCTGTCTTACAGAGGGTCAAACCAGCTTTCTCCTTGGAGGCAAGAATTTTGAAGCTTCCTCTCATATACTTTGGGCATGTTGCCAGGAGAAACTGATCCTTGAAGGACATCATGCTCGGAAGGGTGGAGGGAGAGCATAGGAGAGAAAGACCCTGGATGAAATGTATTGATACAGTAACTGGGGTAATGAGGGTAGGTGTGTCAGAGACCAGTGAGACTGACTCATGACAGGGCAGGCTTCAGAGCTATTGTACATAGAGTCCCTAAGAGTTGCAGATACATAGATGACTTTTTGTGAAGAGTTATGCAGTATTTTTTAAAAACTACAGCCTGAGTGTTTAATTTTTCCAAATTTATATAATCTGCACCCATTTTCACTAGTCTTCTATGATTCCCATCACAGTATCTTTGTTAATTTTTTCTTACAAAACCAGCATATCAGTAAATAATTGCTTATGGTAAGTTTGGTTTCCTGCATTAATTCAATACCCAAAAAGTCCTAAGAAAAGAACAGTAAATATATAATTTAAGATATGTTGCCTTTTTCCAGGCTTACTAGTTTTTATTTTTTTAATGGCTTTAGACATTTGATCTTTTTCTTTCATGCTAATGTAGAAATTTAATTACACCAACTATGCTTTTATTATTTAAAAATGTTAGCGTGGATTATTGTGGTAAATTTAATATTTATTTATTTTTTTTTCAGCCTGCTTGAATTTCCTGAAGCTGTGCAAGATAAAATATTATAATTATTGCCTTATTCACAATGTACAGGTGAGTTGTGGATATTAGTTATGTCCTTTTCCTGTTGAGGCCACCTGACATATCTTATTAATAAATAAAAGTATCTTGTGTGTTTTAGAGAGATTTTATCATACAAACTGGTGACCCTACGGGGACTGGCCGTGGAGGAGAGTCTGTTTTTGGGTGAGTTTTGTTATTTTTTAAATAGGTAAAATGGAATTTCCTCTTAACAGTGTTAACTTGCAGGCCTCAGTCTGCATTCTAAAATACAGTTCAAATAATGAGTTTTTTTCTAACTTCCCTAAATGTCGATAGCAAAAAAGAGGAACGTTTTTAACTGTAATGACATTTCTGTAAAGAGCTATGTGATAATCTTTTGGTTAGTAGTATTACTATGTTTTATTATGAGTGTACTTATATATAATAACCTTACTTTGTGTATTTTCAGTCAGCTGTATGGTGATCAGGCAAGGTTTTTTGATGCAGAGAAAGTGCCAAGAATTAAACACAAGAAGAAAGGCACAGTGTCCATGGTGAACAATGGCAGTGATCAGCACGGCTCTCAGGTGAGGACACGGAGAAGAGGATGCATTTTACTTAAAATGAAGGGCTGAAAGGACTCAACAAGATTATATTTTGAAACTGTCCAGTAAGAGAATTTCAACTATAGATACTTCTAGAAGAAAGACTTGCACTATCTTTCCCCCCATAATGCATTTATTCCTATTTTTTAAAATGGATAGCATTGTTAGATTGCCTAGATGAAATATGAAAAGGCATGTCAATTCTTCAGTTAGCTCTTTTTTTTTGGTCGTAGAAGAATCTATAGGAGTAGATAGAGGAGAAAGAAGTAGATAGGAAAGATTAGCTGCAATAAAGTGAAACAGAAGCCAGTTTGAGAGTTGTTGTTGTTGTTAGGTGCCATTGAGTCATCTACAACTCTAGTGACCCTATTACAACAGCCCTGAACCCTGCTCTATCCTGTGCCAATCTTATTGTCTCTGACACACCTTGCCCCCATTACCCCAGTCACTGAATCAGTTCATCTCATCCAGGGTCTTCCTCTCTTACCTTGTCCCTCCCCCCTTCCAAGCATGACGTTCATCTCTGGGATATATAAGAAACTCAGTCTTGGTTCCATGTACACAGTGTCGTAAGTGAAGCTTGGTAGTCGTCATAGTTGACACTGGCTCCATGGCTGAAGCTGTAAGGGTTCGGGGGACCAATTGCTACAGCTTCATCATAGTGACGGTGGTAGTACTCTCCGCAATAGTCATGCCCATCTCGATTTCTGTTTATTTAGCCAGTAGGTGACATCATCTTCAAATTTTGCTTCATCGAATCCCACGTAGAGGAACCGCTGGTACCACTGCTGCAACTCTGGCTGAGACCGGGCCCACAGCCCTGCCGTTTCTGGCGTTTGAGGCTGCCCAAGAAATCTTTTGCTTTACTCTCTTCAACAGCTCGTTTACTCTTCGATGGAGCAGACGGTTCCCATTTTTGAAGTATCATGAGTTTATTTCCACTTATACCATCACCATGTAATTCCAGAGAACAGGCCTGATTGTCGAATGTACTTCAGATAATGCTTTTCAGTTCAGCCAGATGTAGAGCAAAGCCATTACCAGAAAACATTGTTGAAATGAAGCAGATGCACACACTTCTGCATGGATGATTGAGGGTGATTTCTGAGCATTTTCACTGTGCCCTTAGCTGAGGTAAGCTTGGCCTTTTAAAACGTAATCAACTGCCTCCTGCCCTGTACCAAGGACACAGGGATTGCAGCTTTACTTCTGGGAAGTCTGTTGCAGCAGAAGCTGTTGGTGCCCTGTCCTTATCAGGCACACTGGGGTTACCACCTGTAGTTCTTTGAGAAAGTGAGTCCTGCCTTGCAGCCTGCTGCAGTGTCTTTTTAAAAAGAAAACCCTTCTTTTTCTTGTTTTTCTCAAATTTAAACATATCTATTGTGAGAAATTTAGATACAGAAATTATAAAGACATAAAAACATTCCCTCCAACCCCAGCATCTAGAAATCACCACTGTTTACCTTGTGCCTTCTTTTGTTTCAGTATTTATTATAGAGTATGCAATCAGTCATGTTGCGTACCTTTCATTAATTGTTTTATTTAATCCTCACATTTACCCCCTTAGAGTAGGTTCTTTTATTTTTAGGTTTACATGTAAAAAGTCTAAATTTTGATTTGTCCAAGTATTTTGAGCAATCAGTGGAACGTCTGTGTTCATACCTAGTAATTTAGGTATAAGCTTTGTGCTTTATTTATTTATTTTTAATTTTTTTATTATTAATTTTAATAAAAGTTTACATAGACTGAGGATTTCCATTCATTCATTGTTGCACCTTTCAAGCTTGTGCTTTGAACTTAGTACTAGTAACAAGTGTATAAGAACAGGTGCAGTTAATGCCTTCGGTATTTTTTTTTTGTTGTTAATTTAATTTCAGTTTGAATGACATATATGGTTTTGTTTTTGTTTTTATCTTTCTCTGTAGTTTCTTATTACTACAGGGGAAAATCTTGATTACCTTGATGGTGTTCATACAGTGTTTGGTGAAGTAACAGAAGGCATGGATGTAATTAAGAAAATTAATGAAACATTTGTTGACAAGGACTTTGTACCTTATCAGGATATCAGGTATGGTTACAATTTACAATCTGAATGCATTAGAATGCTTTAACTTTGTGATATTTGACAGGAAATGATGGATAGACCTGATTTGCGGTAGTTCTAAAATGTGAATGAATATAAAAATGTAGAATCTATTAAACAGAATAAAAGAAAAAATAAACTTGATACGGCAAATAGAAATGAAATAAAAAGTAGAATCTATTTCACAGAAAAGATCTTTTGCATTTTTACACTTGTACTATAACTGCTTATGTTGAGATGAATTATTGTTTGTTGTTGGTGGTACCATCACGTTGGAAATGACCAGAACCCTCCAGCAGGTTTTCAGGGGCAATGGCTGCACAGGAGGAGATTGCCCATCTTTTTCCTGCGGATCAGCTGGTGAATTTGAACTGTGTGCCTTCAGGTTGGCAGTGCAGTTCCTTACCACTAGGCCACCAGAACCATACTTGAAGGGATTGTGAGGATGATGCAGGATAGGGCGAGGGTCACATTTGTTGTTCACAGAGTTGCGGCTGACTCCATGGCACTTAACAACAAACAACTTAGCTTTTAAAAATGCAAATTACTAGAATTAGAGGGAAAAGGTACTAAGATTTGTGTATATGTAAGAGTAATATAGAATAATTAATATAATTCCAGGCAATGAAATGAAAGATAATAACACTAATTTTCAAAGTGTATCTAGTAAAAAGAAAAAAAAAAGTATATCTAGTAATATATTTATGTAGTAAGATTTAAAGCTTATGGCTCTTTCTGGCATGACATACTTAAGATACTTTTAATTTTTATAAACAAAACACAAAGTTCTGAAATAAATATCACGTTTGTTTTGGATTTATTTTGTAAGGATAAATCATGCAGTGATTTTGGATGATCCATTTGATGATCCTCCTGACTTGCTAATTCCTGATCGATCCCCAGAACCTACAAGGGAACAACTCGATGTAAGAAGAACTTTTTTGTTACTGAGTGTACATTATAGTAACACTTTATATAGGTTTATCTTTGAAGTCTCTTCAAATTTAGTTCTTAAGAATTACTGTCTTGAGTTGATTGATCAATCTAAAAATGCTTAAGAGTACTTTTGTGTCCTCATAGGTATACTTATTTTTCTAGCTGTCTTTTCTGATTCAAACCAGATTTCTGTATTGTTGTGTTATGTGCTGTCACCTGCCACTCATAGTGATCCTATGTACAACAGCCCTAAACCCTGCTCTATCCTGTGCTATTCTTGTCTCTGACACACCTGCCCCCATTACCCCAGTCACTGAATCAGTCTGTCACATCGAGGGTCTTTCCTCTCTTGTGCTGTCCCTCCATACTTAAGTTTTTATTCTGTTGGAACAGCCTTAGTTCTGGAAAATTACATGAACAACTTAGAATTGTCTTATCTCTTAAACATCAGTTAAGAGATAAGGTTCCAGGCTTAATTAGACTTTGTCCTGTGGAGGACTTTTTAAAAAAAATTATTATACTAGTTTATTTACAAAATTTGAATACACTGTTTTCCAGAAAAGATTCTTCCAGTTTCCCACCCCTCCCCACCCATCAAATTGTACAACCCCATAATTAATCCCCCCTGCACATCTTCATCCCTCTGCTTCCACCCCCTCCCCCGGATCCTTATACTCATTCTACCATAATGGTTTTATGCAATGTTTGTCCTTGTGGGACTGAGTTAGTTCACTCAGCATAATGCTTTCCAGTCCCTCTCAAATTAGGTCATAATTTACAAAATCATTGCTCCTGTGTGCTGGTAGAGAAAATCTGAAGCTAGATTAAAGCCCAGAAATTTCTGTGGAACATGGCAGATTTTTCTGTAGCTATTTGAAAGCTCAAGGGGCTGCCATGAAGCTTTCTCAAAGTTGAATTAGTCTCTTTGAGTCGGCATTTGGTGCTTAGTTTCTAAGATCTTTATCTTCTGCATTCAGCACGTAATTAGACACCAGATAAGTTTGTTGTTATTATTGCTGTGTACCATTGGAACCAACCCATAGCTGACCCTTCCGTGAGTTTTCAGAGGTGGCTTACTCTCATGGGAAGAGATTGCTCATTCTCCTCCCAGAGAAGAACTGGTGGATTTGAACTATGTGCCTTTGGGATTGCAGCTCTGCTCCTTACTACTAGGCCACCATTAGAGCATCTTGCTTTTGCTGTAAATTGTAAATATAAATTGGCTAATATAAAATCAATTTAAATAAATTTTCACAGACCTAATCAGTTACTGTTTGAATATTCTTTTGAAACCAAGAATGAAGCATAATGTCTTCTATGTTTCTCAGATTTTTTTATTCCTTAAGTATATAAAATGGTACTTCTCTCTTACAGAGTGGTCGAATCGGAGCAGATGAAGAAATCGATGATTTCAAAGGAAGGTCTGCTGAAGAAGTAGAAGAAATAAAAGCAGAAAAAGAGGCTAAAACACAAGCTATTCTGTTGGAAATGGTAAGATAATTATCTTTGGTAATTGTTCTTCAGTTTATCTAATAAATATTCACTGTGGATTTATCTGTTTCTGTATCAATTCTTTTTTGTAGTCTTAATCTATTAAAAATGTAAAGATTTATTTTCTGGATTAAATGTTAATATAACATAATTGTGATTATTGTGTACCATGGAGTAGGATCTGACTCATAGCTATACCTCCAGTAGATTTTCAAAGGCTAAATTACATGGGAGGAGATTTCGCATCTTTCTTGTGTAGAGCATCTGGTGGGTTTGAACCATGTGACTTTAGGTTGGTAGCACATCTCTTTACCATTAGGCCACCAGAGCACATAATATATGGCATAGTGCATATGAAAGTAAATTTGATTTGTTGTATTACACCAAATGCCTTTTAAAAAAATAGGAAAAGCTGAATATCATAATAAGATTTTAACTGTTTTCCTCTCACTTTTAAATAATAATTACTAGATTGAGCTTTATATATATTAAGGAATAATTCTTCAGGTTTTTTGTATTAAGAGTAGATAGAATAGTAGTCACAAGATAAAAGAAATATGATTGGAAATTGAGTACTCCAAATATACTCTTACTCGAATTATAAAACTAAAATTTACAAACATTAAAGCTCTGTTGCTAACATGAAGTCATTCAGGGATTTTTAAGTGATACTTTGCATTTTTTCCATTCCTTATTTTTGTGAAATGAGTTTACCTGTTAAATAGTAGTCTCTGGTTGGTTAAGCACTCCACAGTTAATTGGAAAGTTGGTGGCTAAACCATCCCAAGGCACCTTGGAAGCAGGGCTGCTGATCTGCTTCTGAAAGGTCACAGCTTTGGAAATTAATATAAACATTATTTTGTATGGTAGAATTTTCATATCTAGGATATTTTTTTAAAAATCCCATTAGTATCACCCTTCTGAAAGAGCAAAGACTAAAAGCTGCATCTCAGAAAGTTTTCCTGATGTTAAAAAAATAAACCCATTTCAGAGTACTCATTTTCCTTCGCACACTCTGTGCCCGAGATTACTGACCCAGGACAGCAAACACTGAGGACATTCTATTAAATGAAAATTACTGATCGTAAAAGAATTGCTTTGAGTAACTTGGCAAAGTAAGTGGCTTTTAACGAGAAGAACATTGGATCATCAGATTTTTTATTAGGAACACTCTGTCAGAAGAAAATGGTCAACATATTATCAGCAGTTCTTATTTCAAATAACCTCTCAAAAATAGTGCAGACAAAATCTGTATCTCCTTTACACAGATTTACTTTTCAAATATTGTACAAATTCTTTATATCTATTACCTAGAATTACCAATTGTGAACATTTTGTCACCCCTCTGTTTATACATGCACATTTATGCACACATTTTTTTTTCTGTACCATTTGAAGTTAAGTCATTCACCTTTACCTTTTATATCAATTTCCTAAGAGCAACAAAATTATCTTTCCACAATGTAGTTCTCAAGAGCAGGAAATTGATAAGAATTATAGTCCATGTCCTGGTTGTGTTTGTTGTTTTAGTAATATTCTTTATAATTTTGCCTTTTTTCAGTCTAGTATATAGTTCATCATCTCTCTTGAATTGTAATGTCACTTTGTTGTTGTTACTGTTATGTTTCCTCGAGTTGCCTGTGACGCATAGTGACCCTATGTACATTAGCTCTGAACTCTGCCCTGTACTCAGCTAGTCTCACTGACTTTGACACACCTATGCCTGTTACCCCAGTTATTGTGTCAATCCTTCTTATTCGGGTCTTCCTCTCCTGTGTTGTCCTGCTACCTTTCCAAGCAAGTTGTCCTTCTAGGGACTGGTCCCTCCTGGCAACATGCCCAAAGTATGTGAGATGGAGCTTCAAAATCCTAGCTTCCAAGGTGCAACTTGGTTTCACCCTCTCCTGGACAGAACTGTTTGTTCTCTTGGCAGTCCATGGTATGTTCGGTACTCTTCTCCAGCACCACAACTCCAAGGCATCAGTTCTTCTATCATCCTTAGTTACTGTCCAGTTCTCTGATGCATAGAAAGTAATTGTGAAGGCCATGGCCTGGATCAGGTGCAACTTAGTCTTAGACTGACATCATTGCTCTTTAGCACTTTGGAAAGGTCTCTGACAACACACTTCCCCAGTGCAGTTCATCTTTTGGTTTCCTTATTGCTGGTGCCAAGAGTGTTGATTGTGGACCGAGCAAGCTGAAATTATTAACAATCTCAATATCTTATCTGTTGTGATGCTGCCATTTGGCCCATGCTGAGAATCTTTGTCTTCTTGATGTTGAACTTCAGTCGGCATTGAAGACTCTAGTTCTTGGTTTTCTTTAATCTTGAAGAATTCCTTAACCTGTTTTCCTCTACTATGACACTGACATTTTTTTAAAAATTGAGTTCATTTATTTTATAAACTATTCCTCAATTTAATTTTGTCTACTGTTGGTTCCCGAGACTCAGGTTATCCATCCCCAGCCAGAATACCACACAAATAATGTGTCCTTCTCACGTGTCCCATCTTGAGGCGTACAATGTCCAGATGCCCCTTACTGAAAGATAACTTTGATCATTGGGTCAAGGTAATCTGCTACCTCATGCCTCCGTTGCACAGGGCATTTCCCCCCTACCAACTTACAAGCAGTCTGTGACAAAGCACTTTGAAATCTTCCAAACACTTTATTCCTTATCAAACTCTCACTCTAGATTTTTTTAGTCACTCACTATTCTTGTCTGTTCTGGTCTTAACTCCAGTGATTTTGCAAAGGATGCTTTTCCAATGCTTTTGCTCTTCCCTCATTTGTAAGTCACTGTTCTACTGTGAAGCACTCCCTTTCATACCTATTGATCTACTCATTATCACTATGGTTTTATGAATTTCTGTTTGGAAGGGCAACAGAGGCGAGGAAGACCTTCAACCAGGTGGACTGACACGGTGACTACTGCAGTGAGCTCTCGTGTGTCAGGAAGTGTGAGGATGGCGCAGGATAGAGGGTTCAGATCTTTTGTTCACAGGGTCAGTATGAGTCGTACTTGACTCAGTGACACCTAACAACAACTCTTTGTTTTGGTGCTCAAATTGTCTAAGATTTGACTAGTAGGAACTCTTTCAAGCTAAATTGTGTGCCCTTTTGATTCTTTAAATTAACAGATTTCATCTTCTCTTTCCGGAAAATATCTTATTTTATTCTGATTTGTATATAATATGCTAATTCAACTAGATATTTTGCATTATTAGTTTGAGTTTGGTAACTGTTAAGACTATTTTAAAGTTTCTTATACTATTTCAGAGTTAGATTTGACTGTACAGTAAATTTTTTTAAACCTACTAACTTTTTTTTTCACTTCTGCTTCCTGCGGTATTTCAGTCATTGCAGATGCCTTTTGGATATTTTTTTCCTTATTTGAGCATCAGGAATGTTTGATACTTAAACATTCCACTGATGTTCATCAAACTTAAATGTTTGATACTTTTTAATTGAATAGAGATTAATGCTATTATTTTTTATTATTGTTGCTATCATTTTTTTTTTTATTATTGTTGCTATCTTTTGATAGACTGGCTGCCACTGCTTCTTACTGCCTGACTTAGGTTTTCCATGTGTTTACCTAGGTGGAGACACAATGTGACAATCTTAGCAGAAATCACTCCTTAGAGTTTTGGAATGTATGTGTAAGGTACAGTGTGTAGAAAGGAGTATTGCTGATCTATCTAAAGATTGAAGAGAAAGAGTTTCTCCACAGTGAAATCAAAGCCGTCTGTCATCATAATTCTCTCTTACTGTCTACCTCGCTGGTTTTTCAGGAAGTTGTATAGCCTGTTCAGTGCTGTGGTTGGTTAACTTTACGTGTAGCTAATTCAGTCTTGAGTCTGATACGTGTAGCTGATTGAGTCTTGAGTCTGAAATCAAAGCTAGAAATAATATCTAGGGATTACTGTTGCTCCATTTTGAATAGTAATGTGAAAAAATTGGGCACCGCATATGCACTGATGATAATAGGGTTATGCAAAACACTAGTTAAAAGCCAAATGGAAATGCAGGATATTAGTTATTTCTGGCTGAGGGATGAGGGGATAAGGGAATATTTCAGTTCTTAAGCTAGATGGTTGGCAGCAAAGGCTTTTTCATTCTTCATTAGTTAAACTGTACATAAATCCTCCTTTTCCTTTCTTTTAATATAAAGAAGAAAAGAGAAATGAGACAGATACCTTGAAGCCATATAGGCATAGATTCAAGTCCCAACTTTAGTCTTGGCACCTGCCTTGGGCAAGTAACTTATTTAAGCTTTCTGAATTTCACTTTCAGTTGAACTCAGCTCATTGCTGTGGAGTTGGAACCAACTCATCGTTGACCCTCTAACAGATTTCAAAGACACTAAATTGTGTTGCATAGGAGGAGAGTGTTCCTCTTTCTGCCTTGGGGCTGCTGGTCGATTGAACTGCTGGAGAGGCGTGGCCTCTGGGTTAGCTGCACCACTCCCTATAGTCTAGGCCTTCAGAAATCCCTGTTTTTCTGTTTTCTTTCTTTTCGTTGTTTGTGCTGTCACGTCGCCTGTGACTCATAGAGAGCCCATGTATAATAGCTCTGAGCCAGTCTCATTCTCTCTGAAGCACATACTCCAGTTATTGTATCCTCCATCTCAACGGGGATCTTCGTCTTCTGTGCTGTCACTCCACCCTTTGGAGCATGATGTTCTTCTCCAAGACCTGGTCCTTCCTGGCCACGGGCCCAGAGTATGTGAGGCAGAGCTTCAAAATCCTGCCTCCAAGGAGAAACTTGGTTACATTGGGAATTGTAAAGTTTGAAGAATTAGTGGTCATGTGTATAAAGTGTTAAGTGCAGTAGTCACACAAAGCAGGTGCCAGGTGAATATTAGGGCCTTTTATTTTAACTACCAGGAACAATGTGTTGTGGTGGAGGTTAGGTGCCATTGAGTCAAGTACAACTCATACTGTCCCTGTGAACAACAGATCTGAACCCTGCCCTATCTTGTGCCATCCTCACCATCTCAGACACACTCAAGGTCCTTGCCACAGCACTGTGTCAGTCTGCCTGGTTGAGGGTCTTCCCCTCCTTCACCGTCCCTCCACCCTTTCAAGCATGATGTCTCTCTTCAATACTTTTTTTTTGAGTAAAAGTTTATAAATCATATTAGTTTTTACTCAATCATTCATACATATTTTGTTTTATAACACTCATTGCAAGTCATTAATGTAATTTATGACAGTGTCTCATTAACCCTTATTGTATATTGTGCTTCCTCTCACCCAGTTTATTTACATATTAGATTTTGAAATCTTACACAGATTCTTTTTCCTGAGCTTGCAGTTTGTATAGTGTAGGCTTGGTGTTTTAGGCAAATTAGCATCATGGGCTTGAATTGGCTGTTTAGAATAGAAATGAAATGATATAATTTATGTTGTTATTTATCATTTAGGTGGGAGACCTGCCTGATGCAGACATTAAGCCTCCAGAAAATGTGTTGTTTGTTTGCAAGCTGAATCCAGTGACCACAGATGAGGATCTGGAGATAATATTCTCGAGATTTGGGCCAATCAGAAGGTAATTAATCTCTTTTGTTAGTAAGATGTTTAGAAGACCTAGATATTAATTGGCTATTTTTAAAGAACATATTTTTTGATCAGTTAACTGTGGGTGAGATTTTTGCTGGTGAATCATTTATAGGTAAGTGACTGGACCATTGAAAGAAAAATCTGTATATATAAGCAATTGATTTTCCTACTCTCAGAACAAAAACAATGAATGGAATAACTGAAGGCTAGTTCTATAGTATTTTATCAAGCATTTTTCATATAGAAAATATTTACCTCATTTAATTTTCTAGAATTGTTAGTAGTCATTAAAATTAATTTGAATCTCAATTTTCCAAAATTTTTCTTTTGGCTGAATTTTCCTTATGTTATTAATGCAGAAGTTTATAAAAGTAATATTTCTGTGAGAAAGGAGATTTTTATAATTAATTAAAACCATTTTTTTGTCTTTAGAATGCCCTTACATTTCATATTTTTAAAATGAGACTTATGATGCATGCAGAAAGGATAAGCGAGGTGCTTTCCACTCTATCTTACTGGCCCTTTCCTTTAATTATCAAATGGTTAAGTCTATGTAATTGTTACACTTAAGGAGCCCTGGTAATACAGTGGTGAAGTGCTTGACTACTGTTGAAATGTTGGCGGTTTGAACTTAGCAGCCACTCTATGCAGTCTGCTTCTGTAAAGAGTGTTATTGTTTTAAAAAGGAAGAGAAAAGAGGTGGTTGTTAAATTCCATCTGGTTGGAGCCAACTGATAGCTGACCCTCCAGCACGTTTTCAGAGGCAGAAGTCTTTCTCCTTCAGACAAGCTGCTAAATTTGAACTGCAGTCCTTTGGGCTGGTGGTACAACTCCTTACCCCTGAGCCACCAGAGATCCCTCTGTAAAGATTTTATCTTTGGGAACTACGAAGCTGTTAGTGTCTGTTCTGTCTTGCAAGGTCACTGTGAGTCAGAAATGACACAACTGCAGTGGATTCAATAGCTAAACTTAGAGGGTTAAATTTGAGCGTGGCTTGTTTTAAAATTCAAAATTTCCAAAGCACAAATGTGTGTGTGTACAAGTGTGCTCATCCTACAGTACGTTAGATACTCAGTAATTCGTCTATATTTTCACTCTTGTTTACTGTTGAGCCAGAACTAATAGCTGACGCTCTAGCTGGTTTTCAGAGACAGTAAATTGCACAGGAGAACATTACCTTTCTCCCGCGAAGCAGCTGGTGAATTCAAATCACATGCTTTTGGATTGGCAGTGCGGCTCCTTACCACCAAGCTGCCAGAGCTCACGATTTGTATTTTCACTGAGAATGTTATAATTTTTTTTAAAGGTTTACTATACTCCGGACGGGGGGTGGGGGGGTGGGGGGATTGTATACCAATGAAGGAATTTTTCTTTCACTTTTCAAGGAGAAGAGCGAACTGGGGGGAGGGCAGGGGTGATCAGGGAGAAAAATGCAACAACGAATGAATGAAAATCCAAAATCTCTGTAAATGTTCATGAAAATTAATAAAATATAATTTTAAAAATATTTAGCAATAGGAAAATTAAGTCCTTATATTTTTTTTATTCTTTTTAGTGTGTAGGAATTAAAGACTATAAGACATTTAGAGTAGAAATTTAATCACTAGGCTGGTGAAATATTTTTTTAAAACTGAAGAAATAAAGATTTCATGAGTTTCACTTTGACTTTTAATAACTGGCTTCTTTTATTCTTCCCTTTGAAGAAGTGAGAATGAATGCTATTTGCTTTAAAAGAAAAAAAAAGTCACTGTTTTTGAAAACTTTCTTGCAGTTGTGAAGTTATCCGGGATTGGAAGACAGGAGAATCCCTCTGTTATGCTTTCATTGAATTTGAAAAGGTATGTGCTAACATGGCTGTATGAAGTTGGCGTTTATTTTGTTCATATATTGCATTATTGTTGGTGTTGGGTGCCATCAAGTCGAGTATGACTCACAGCAACCCTGTGAACAACTGATCTGACCCCTGCACTATCCCGTGCCATCCCATAGTTTCTGATACCCTCAGCCCATTGCAGCACTGTGTCAGTCACCTGGCTGAGGGTCGTCTTCTGCTCTGCCGTCTCTCCACCTTCCCAAGCGTGATGGCCTTCTCCAAAGAATAATGTCTCCTATCAACATGCTCCTTTAAAGCATGTTAAGTTATAGCGCTTTCTCCACTGTGACTCCTGTAACATGAGCTTGCCCTCTGTAGGTGGAGCAGATGTATTGCACTCAGACCACTGGCCTGTAGGTTGGTGGTCCCAGTCCACCCAGCAGCGCCACAGAAGAAAGGCTTGGGGACCTGCTTCTGTGAAGAAAAGCCCAGAGCACTTCTCTGTAGCATGTGAGCTGGCCATCAGTCAGGATCCGCATGATACATACACATTTTTTTAAAAAAATTAATTTTATTTTATTATTTTGTGTATGCGTGTACCGTCAGGTCAGATCTGACTGGTACAGGAGGAGACTGCCCCTCCTCTCCCGCAGAGCACCTGGTGGATTCAAATAGCATGTCTCAGGGATTGCAGTGCAGCTTCTTACCACCAGGCCACCAGAGCTCCTTTAGGCGCTTGAGAACAGTGATTGGATTCTGTTGAAGAGGAGGCACATGCAATCTAATTTTTTTGTCCTTCTCTTTGCACTGGTATTTTATTTTCTGTCCCTGTCTTCACAGTGTCTCTGTCACTCTGTCTTCTCAAGTCTCTCTCTTTTTTTAAGATTTTCTACTTGTTTATTTACAAAATTCAAATAATACATTGTTTTTACGAACACATTCTTTCCATTTTCCTTACTCTGCCCTCATCAAATTGTACAACCCCGTGATTAATCCTCCCTCCCCCTGCACATCCTCATCCCTCTGCTTCTACCCTCTCCCACCCCTCCTGGATCATTATACTCCTTCTACAATAATGGTTTTATACAATATTTATCCTTGTTGGACTGAGTTAGTTCACTCAGCATGAAGTTTTCCAGTCCCTCCCAAGTTAGGTAATAATTCATAGAATCATTGCTCCTGCATGCTGAATAGTGTTCCACGATGCAATACCTCTTGATGTTAATGCATAGATCTTTACTTTAGGTTCAGAAGTGGTCTGTAGGAATGTAGCTTTAGAACTTTTCAAGTTTTGAATAAGTCATTTACATTCCAGTAGTAATTTTCTATGTTATTTTGGTAGAGATATAATGGAGTGATCTTCCTCTCCTGCACAGGAGAGGAAGACCCTGGATGAGATGGACTGACATAGGAGACAGGGAAACTGGCTCAGGATAGGGCAGAGGTCAGTGCTATTGTACATAGGGTTGCTATGAGTTGCAGGAGACTAGAAGGCACATAACACAACAACAGCAATAATGGAGTGGAGAACTAGACTGAGTATTAAGATCTAGATATTAATTTAAATGCTATCACTGACCAGCTATTCGACAATGGTTGGCTACTATGTAACTTTTCTCCTCTATCTTAACCTTTCTTCTACATTAAATTGTTATTGTTGTTATGTGCCATTGATTCACTTGTGACTGACTCACGATGACCCTCTGCACAATAGTTCTGAACCTGGCCCTATCCTGAGCCAAGCTCACTGTCTCTGACACACAGCACCCTAGACACTGTGTCAATCCATCTCATCCAAGGTCTTCGTCTCCTGGGCCATCCTTCCAGCCTTCTAAGCATAATATTCTTCTCTAAGGATCAGTCCCCTTGGGCAACATGCCCAAAGTCTGTGAGATAGAACTTTAAAATCCTTGCCTCCAAGGAGCAACTTGTTTTCACCTTCTTCAGGACAGGCCTGTTTGTACTCTTGGCAGTCCATGGTGTATTCAGTACTCTTTTTCAGCACCACAGGGTAACGGTATCAGTTCTTCTTCTAGCATCCTGAGTCATTGTCCAGCTCTCTAATGCATAGCAAGTAATTGTGAAGACCATGTCCTGGATAAGGCACACCTTAGTCTCTATATTGACATCATTGCTCTTTAGGATTCTGAGGTCCCTGATAGCAGATTTTCCCAATGCAATTCATCTTTTTTTTTTAAATTTTTTTTTAAATTTTATTTTA